GAGAGAGAGAGAGAGAGAGAGAGAGAGAGAGAGAGAGAGAGAGAGAGAGAGAGAGGCTACTTACATTGATAGGATGAGCAAAATCGGAATGAGTCAGACACACAAACACAGACACGCACGCGGGTGTAGTAGTGCATATTTTTATGTTCTAGCAGTAGATTCATTCAATTTTGCTCATCCTATCGTTCTCTCTCTCTCTCTCTCTCTCACACACACACACACACACACACACACACACACACACACTTGTGGCATTGTATATTTCCATGTTCTAGCGGTGGATTCGTTCGATTTTGCTCATCCTATCGATTGAAGTACCCTCTCCGTCTCTCTCTCTCTCTCTCACACACACACATAGTTTGCATCTGACAGCTCCTTAGTCCAAACACACTCCGGGATTTCTTTTCAATGTATCTGTCTGTCGCAGTGTATCTTACTATATTCTGGCGGAAGATTCGTTCTCATTTTGCACAGTGGCAGGTTGCTCAGTTGATGCACACATGAAACTGTTGAATTGCAGGCGACCACAATAAAATAGTCTAATTTACAAAGCATCCGGCGGCGTGCCGATGCCTTGGCCGATGTGAGGGGGGGATGTCCGAACACAATCTGCGAGGCAGAAGAGCACGTTGTGCAAGGATGGGGAGGAGGTCGCGAGAGGGGGAGGAGGAGGTCGCACAAGGGGGAGGAGGAGGTCCGAGGAGGGGGAGGAGTGGGTCGTGCAAACGGGAGGAGGAAGTCGTGGGCGGGGCAGGAGCAGGTCGCACGATGGGGACAAGAGGTTGCCGGAGGTCATGTGGGAGGGGGAGGACGAGGTCGCACCGGTGGGAGGAGGAGGTCGTGCTAGGGGGAGGAGTTAGGTCGCACGATGGGGACGGGAGGTTGCAGGAGGTCGTGCGGGAGGGGAAGGACGAGGTCACACCGGTGGGAGGAGGAGGTCGTGCTAGGGGGAGGAGTTTGTGCCAGTGGGAGGAGGGGGCCGCGATGGAGGAGGACGAGGTTGCACCGGTGTCTTTAGAAGCGAACTGACTAGTTAAGATAGAAGGCCACTCGGATTGTGAAAATCATGAAGCAGAAGTTTGTAACAAATGAAAGAAAAGAGAGGGAGAAAAGTGTTAGTCTAGCTTGAAGTCTTTAGGCACAATTCATTTACAGGCTTCTGGGCTTCTTAGGTACAGATCTCCCTACTCGATGTATTGCTTGCCTTCTGCGCTTCGGAGAACGAATATTTCAGAGAAGACAATGATAAAAGAAAAAAATTATGCGACAAAATGAGAGACACTAGGGACAGTACCTGCATGGTTAAGTAAATGTGCAAATCATAGAAACATTACCAGGATTTGGCTACCATTGAGTAGACATAAGTCAAATATAAAATAGAGTCCAAATTTTGGGGTTCTTAGGGGGTAGGCTTTAGTTTCCAGACGGGGAGGGGGCGGGGGGCTGTGACATTTGTGTCCCGTAAAGTTGTGGTGTACACAGTAATCTGGCGTCAACATTGGCTAAAATAGGGCATAGAAATTGATCGACACAGAAGATTCCATGACATTGCTGTTGCTGTTTTTACAGATCCAGTTTGCTTGCTTAACAGCAGGCGAGCATGTCGGTCAGCAATTGAATACGTGGGGCATATTAACACAAGGGCTTTGGTGGATGCATCTGACAGGAACTCCACCATGACCTGGATGTATCTGACCCCAATTACGTCCAAAGCTTATTCCAAAAGTCCGAGTGCGAGTATGCTCTTAGTGGTTCAGCATTAACATGAAGCTGCCATGCTTGTTTGTCGGACTCGTGCCGATCTTTTGTCCCTTTGAAATTTGAATCGTGTTTTCATTTCTTGTGAGTAACATTTCTGTTCATCCTTCCCTGCCCTCCTTTTCTTGGGCATCGGGCACATTCTGAGAATTCCTGCAACAGCAAAAACCTCTCTGCCTTACAGTTGTGTGTACTGGCATTTTGCTGGCTGGCCAGGTCTCCCGATGGGTGCCACTTGGCTTTTGCTGTACATGTGGATGTGGAGGTGAGCTGTCCCACATACACACACAACCTCCTGATGAGTCGGTGAACAGTCGTGCTTTTTTTTGTGGAGGTGTATAAACACACACACAACCTTCCCCTCCTCCCCCCCCCCCTCCTCCCCCTCCTCCCCCTTCTTCCCCTGGTTCTTCTGTTCTCCTTCTGGTGCACTTTGTTTGGTCACTTCCTCGCTTGCCTCCCTCCTTCGTTCCCCTCCTTTCCCTCTTTTTCCCTCCTTTCCCTTTGTTTCCCCCATCCCGTCCTTCCCGTCCTTTCTGTCCTTCCATTCCCTCTCTGCATTCTTCCCTGCCTTGTCTTCTCTCTTCACCTTCCACTACCTTTTGTTTCTTGCAGTAACACAGAGGACATGCATAGCCGAATTGACTATCAGTGGTAGTTCGCTTTTGGGCATCCGTCAATCCTCTCTGCGACATTTGGTGCCTCTTTTGTTTTGTTCTTGCATATGCCCCATAACATCAAGAAAGGAGTTTGCATTCCACGAGTAACACAGAGGACTTACATTTCCACCGAGTTAACTTGGCAAAGAGGACTTTACTTTCTACTGAGAAACAGAGTAAGCTTCTGCCTTTTCTCTTCGTTCTTTAGAGTTGCAAGGAGAGGACTTGCTTTTTTCCTTCTTTCTTTGCTTTTTTCTTTGTTCTTGTCTGCCATGAACAAAGAGGGCTTTTTTTAATTTTATTTTTTCTTTCGCATTCACAGCGGGCACTTAGCTTTGTTGTGAGTTGTGCGGAGGTCTTTGTTTTATTGTGATTCACAGAGAGGGCTTCACATTTTTTATTTTTTATTTTGTATGGAAAGGGCTCTTCATTATCAGGGCTTTCCTTCAAGTGTGGTGGATGGACAATAACCGGACCGGATCCTGTGAAATGGGACAAAATATGCAGGAACACACAGAGGAGCCTGCAGGGCTAGGTCTGTGGATGGCTGACGTAAAGACTGGCGAGGCGAAGCAGCTTTTCAGATCCCCTGAGTGCCAGCTCAATACAGTTTTTGACTCGTGAGTGGCTTATATATAGTACGCAAGCCTTGTCAGGATTTCCCATTCATTTCTCTCTTTCTTTTTCTCTTTGGGGTCTCCTTTTGGCTGTTTCCAAACTCAAGAGGTGGAACACCCGCTTAGAACATGGTGGGGACAAAAAAAAAAAGAACACCAAAAAGGGTGGGTGGGGACGTTCCCTAGAACATTGGGGTGGAGTGGGGGAGAGGAAAGCAAGGGAGCAAAAAGAAGGAAGATGTTGAGGTGGGGGAACTTTCTCTGTACACGAACGAATAAGGATACAAACAAAAGTGTTTTTTTTTTTTTTTTTTTTTTTTTTTTTGTCAACTGGTGTTTTCCATCCTTAGAACAGTGAATCATCTTGTGCCCCCGGTCCATCCATGCCCCCATCTGCACATTCCACAATATCTCAAATCAAGGGTACCCATTCCACGTACCCTGTCTGGGCCGACCTGTTAACGTGGGGCCAGGGCCCAGGGAAAGGTTGGCCTACCGGAGGTCTGCGGCCCCAGGTAAGGGGCGGCCCCAGGTAAGGGGCACAAAATTTCGGGTGTCCGCACTTTGGCCATTTCCAGTCCCCTCTGAAACAATTCATGCCTGTAGGTTGCATGGCGCTGAATAATGTGCAAGGGATATGAGTGTGAAGTTGTGAACTATATACCGAAAACCAAGTTGTGAAATCACACAGATGTCCAAGCGGTCGTGTACAAGCTGAGAGCACAATTGCACCGATAATCCATTCAAATAGAGCAATACAATGAAGTAATGAGCCAATGTTCAAGCTCTCAGGTCAAACCAACACAGTATCCAAAGTCGCTCCTCTCTGTGGTCAAGCCAATGTTCAAGCCCTCAGCAGATGCTGCACCACCCGGTTCATCTCTTCAGTCTGCCCATTGGCTTCAGGATGATTCCCAGTAGTCATTTGGAGCTGGCTGCCCATCTGTTCAGCGGCCTTCTTCCACATCTCACTGGTGAAACGCACATCACTAACGATCGTCTTTGGTAGCACAAAGTCACGCACCAGTTATCCATGAATAACTTGATGACGTGTTCAGTCTTGGCGGTCTCCGACAAGGCAATTGGTCTAGCAAACTTAGTGAACCTATCAACTATGATGAAGATGTGCCTTTTGCTATTCTTGCTGGTCACGAGAGTATCCATGAAGTCCATGGAGATACTCTGCCCTGGGCCAGCAGGAATGGGTAGAGGGTTGAGTAACCCAAGCGGAGCTTGAGTTTGCGGCTTGTCCTGCTGACAGACCTGATCGGTCTGTACGTACTTCTTTGCATCGTCCAGCATGTTAGGCTACCAGAATCGTTGTACTAAATTAACACTAGTCTTCTTATAGCCGAAATGTCCCGTTGCGTCGTGGCACTCACCTAGAAATAAACTATGCAAAATCTCCCTAGATGGAACAACTAACCTCTTAAACCCTGCCTTCTCAAGAAAAAGTAACCCATCCACCATGACAAACTCGTCAGTGGTGGCCTTGTCTCTGGCCTTCAGTTTGTCGATGATGTACATCGTGATAGGGTCTTCCTTGTAGGCTTCCCCCAAGGATCGAGTAACGTCCTTAGATAGGCCAAACTCGTAAATCAGTGCACCTAGAAAAACAGCCCTGCGAGACAACGCATCCGCAACCTTATTGTACTCTCCTTTCACATAGTCTGGTCTAAAGTCATACTGATCTATGACTTCAATCCAGTGTTTGAGTGCATCGGAGAGAACTGGTTGTGTCTTGATCCACTTGAGGGTCTGATGGTCAGTTCTCAAATAGAAGAACCTTCCTAGCATATAGTGCCTCCAGTGAACAAGTGCCCTGTAGAGGGCATAGAGTTCCCTCTCGTAGGTGGACTTTACCAAATTCTTTGATGGGGCATCTTTTTGCTCATGTACTCGACCGGTATCAACTTTTCCCCTTCCTGTTGAGCTAGCATTGCGCCAATGCCATATTGGCTTGCGGGAGTGGTTACAACAACCGGCCTTTGTGGGTCAGGTACCATGAGAACCTCATGATGCGTGAGTGCATGCTTCAAACACTTGAAAGCTGCCTCACACTCGTCGGTCCAGTCCCATGGCGTATCAAGTCGAGTTAGATCAGTGAAGGGAGATGTGATCATGCTATAGTTCTTTACGAAGTTGCGGTAAGAACCACACATTTCCAAGAATTGCAATCAGACTCGCTTCTTTTCACACTTCACATACATGCAAACAGGTTGCACAGCAAACTGGCGACACGCGCCCACTCAAAACTCAGAAATATTGGAACCAGGAATGCAGATCAGATACAATCTCACTTCAGATGGCTATGGCGCATCAGCGCCTGTGCAAATCTTTGTTCGTCATTCACTCGACGCTGCTGTTCACACGCGGGATCACCCTGGATATCCCACACGCACCCCACTGTACACTCACACACTCACACACGCTACACCTCCTATCAGCTATGGCGGCCATGGCAACTGCTACCCCTATCACTATAGCTACACTCTCCTTCTCGCCCACTTCGTCTTCGGGCTCACTGCAGACCACCTCGCACAAGTCGCTGTGGCACCGCTTCCGCATGGCTTACGCAGGAATGAATGAATCGCTGGGCGCTGCCTCTTGATTTATACTTCCGTGTCTCGTTGGTCTGCCCCTTTCCCATGCCCGTGGTGCACACAGTCCCATACAATACTTGCTTGACTGGACTAGGACTGACTGGGACTGGGACTGCTGACTCAGCACGGGTGGACTCCACCACTTGCCCACTTGCCTCAACCTAAACGTGAGCAGCTTCGAAAGGCCAGTACCAGGACCTTCCAGAAGTTTCAACCCTGGCCTTTTGGATACTGTAGCAGCTACGACCTTGACCTTTCAGGATTGTAGCAGCTACAACCTTGACGTTTCAGAGGTCCTACAACTGCAACTTCTAGAACTCCCTAAGACCACTATTGGACAGGTCTACAGATCGAACCCCCACCATCTACAGACCCTACGACAGTCTACCAACTGTGGAAACAGACACAGGTCGTGGGTTCAACTCCTGGGGTCGACATAGGTAAGGTAAAGTCTAGGGATCAAGATCGAACCCCTACCATCTACAAACCCTACGACAGTCTACCAACTGTGGGAACAGACACAGGTCGTGGGTTCAATTCCCGGGGTCGACATAGGTAAGGTAAAGTCTAGGGATCGAGCCCTAGGATCTGCATTCGCTACTGCGAACAGGTGAATACCGTTTCACTCCTGCCGCCTGAATTCGAGGTCCTCCGAGAATAACTCAGTCCAAGACAGGACCTTTACCTTTTCTCTCTCTCTCATAGGCCCTAACTACGTCGGGAGCTGTTTCTAGAAGTTCTGTTCTAGTAAACCAGCGGTCGTCCTCTGGTTCCTGATAAGCGAACCGGACCTTATACTGTTTCTGTGGACGACCTCTGCCTCCTGTTCTGAACACGTCTTCACCTACAATGTCGTCAATGTCGTACCTTTCATCCATGTCTGGGGGTATCATTGATCTTTTAGATGGAAACTGCTGACTTGTAACACATGGTAACAACTTTGACGCATGAAATACGGGGTAGGTGTGGAGGTGTGTTGGGATCTCGACTGTGTAAGACGGTCCATCCTCTCCGCCCTTAACTTCCAGAACCGGCCACGGTCCTCTATACGCAGGCAGTAACTTCTGCGACATGTTTTCCTCAGGAGCAAACTCTTTGGACTTGACCCAGACTAAGTCGCCTACTTGGAACTGCGATGGGCGACGATGCTTGTTGGCTTGCTCTATCATTCTGTGTTGGGCCTTCCTGAGGTTCTCGACGACAGTAGCTAGCTCTTTCTCGTGTTGTATCGCAAACTCCCTGGTACTGGGCGGTAGCCTGTGAATCTGGTCCCGGTTAAGTCCCTCAAACGGTCTACGCGGTCTAAAGGACTTGTGTAACTCGTTGGGAGTGCGGCAAGTGGAGAAGTGCACGCCGTTGTTATACGCACTGGACCTTGGGCAACATCTCGTCCCAATTGACTTGATCTGGTCTAAATGTACATGCGCAGAACTTGTTGTAGGATCTTGTTCATCTGTTCAGTCTGACCGTTGGTCTCTGGATGACGGCCAGAGGACATCAGCAACTTTGACCCATAAACTCTCATCAGTTCCTGCCAGTTTTGACTCGTGAAGCGAGTATCTCTATCACTAACAATGGACAATGGGACTCCATGCTCACTAACTTAAAAATCGAAAAACTTCTGAATGACTAGCTCGGTGCGTGCCTCTGCAGGCCAAGGGACAAAAATAACATACTTACTAAATCTATCAACTATGACCATGACTTGGCTCTTACCATGCCTACTCTTCACGCCAACGTCCATAAAGTCAATGGACACTAAATCTCCTGGCTGATCAGGAATAGGCAAGGGTCTAAAAGACCTAGAGGGGCACGCGTTGTAGTCTTGTTTCTTTGGCACACTTTGCAACTGCAGATATACTCTATGCAGTCAACTTTCATTCCTGGGCAAGTGTACGCATCATCAGATTGGCTAGAGTCTTTTGCCAACCGAAATGTCCCTCTGTGTCGTGGCATTCCCCTAGGATCAAATTACGGATCTCCTCGCTGTTTGGAACGCACAGACGGTCTACTGCATTAGTCTTCTCAAATAACAACCCCTCTGTGGTGCGGTAATCTGGCTCGGTCTCTGGGGCCTCCTTAACTCTTTTGAGGAGATCGCTATAAATAGGGTCCTGCGCATACGCCTTTCTAATTTTCTCCTGCAGGTCACTCCCTATATCCAGATAGTGAACTATAGCTCCAAAGTAGTCTGATCTCCTCCTTAGGGCATCCACAACTACATTGTACTTGCCTTTGATAGGCTTGAGCTCAAAGTCGCACTGGTCTATCTCAGCGGCCCACCTAGTCAACTTAGGTGTCATCTTGGCGAGTCTCGTGGTCTGAATACACTTTGAAGTGCCTCCCAAGCAGGTAATGCTTTCAGTGCTCTAAAGCCTACCTGGGAGCGTAGAGTTCCCT